GTGGCACTCGAACGGCCAGCTCTGGGGCTACCGGCCGAACCATGAGCACTGCCTGATGTGCGTGTGTGCCCTCGCGGGGGAGGGGGGTCGTGTATTTTTCTTCCCTTCCCCCTTTTGCGCTTGTGTGCTGTTCTTCCCTTTCTTGGTGTACCCCGCCCCCCCGCCCCCCCGCCCCCCCCCAACCCCCAAAAACCACCAAACACAAACAACAATAAATCAGAAAGAAAAAAAACGAACGATCACGCGCGCATGTGCGCCCCCGCTCATGCACGCCATATCACTGGCACCGGCAAATCGTAACACGCGCGATGTGGCACCTGCAGGCGCAACATGACCTCGGTCAATTTCTGTGATGCCTGCCGCGAGACCCTCTGGCTGGAGCTCCTGGCCAAGGTGTCGCTGATCGACGGGATCCGGGCCGAGGAGAATTCCCGCAACGGCACCATCACCATCAGCCTGGATCTCATGCCTTTCGGGCATCTGCGCCAGCCGCGGCCGATCGCCGGCGAGCAGCTCCTGACCACCTGGTACCGGGTGGTGTCGTCCGTGGACCCGGGTGTCCATCAGCCGCAGTTCGACAACATGCACGAGTGGACCGCGCCGGCCGGCTGGTCTCGCGGCATGTGGCGTGCCGATGTGGAGCTGGTCACGCCGGAGGTCCGTCGCGATGATGATGGCCTCCTGCGCGACTCGATCTTCATCCGGATTGAATAGTGCAGCAAGTGCGGCCTTTGTGTGCTTGCCTGTGTGCGTCTTTGTACATGTGCGCGCACAGGCACACACACGCATGTCCATCTGGGCACCTGTTGTTGTGTCCCGGACCGCGGCCGACCTCCCTGCCCCTAGTGCCGGGGCTTCCGCTGCTCCATGGCATGCCGACAGGCTTACACACACATGCACACACGCCTGGCTCCCGCGGCCTTGCCATTGGTCTGCCGAGAATGCACCCTGTTGCGCCCTCCTTCCTTCTCTCTTGTCCGTGCGGGGAATGCGTGAGGGGGATGGTCCCTCCGTGTGTGTATGTATGTTTTCAGAAATATATTTGTGTGTGCGGCTTCCCTCCCTCTCTCTCTCTCTCTCTCTCTCTCTCTCTCTCTTTTTTTTCTCTTCCTCCCTCTCTCTTTTTCTCTTCCTCCCTCTCTCTCTCTCTTTTTCTCTCTCTCTCTCTCTCT